TCAGAATTATTATTATGTTGACTCCATTCCATTCTTCTTTCAAGAATTGTTTGTTTAATATATCTAAACACTTTCTAAAATCTATAATTTTTAGGGTTTAGGGTTTAGCTAGGGTTTAGGGTTTAGGGTTTAGGGTTTAGGGTTTACGTTATGGATTTCTTCAGAATTATTATTATGTTGACTCCATTCCATTCTTCTTTCAAGAATTGTTTGTTCAATAGATCCTTTAGATACAAATAACTCAACATTTACAGGTCTTAATGCCCCCATACGATGAGCACGGGATATAACCTATAAAAAAGGAGACAAAAAGGAGACAAAAAGGAGACAAAAAGGAGACAAAAAGGAGACACTTTATTATATACAAGGAGACACTTTTACATATAAAGGGAGACAAAAACAGACAAAAGGAGACACTTTATTATATAAAAGGAGACACTTTATAAGAAAAGGAGACAAAAGGAGACAAAAGGAGACAAAAGGAGACAAAAGGAGACACTTTATTACATAAAGGAGACACGTTATAAGAAAAGGAGACAAAAGGGGACAAAAGGAGACAAAGGGAGACAAACGGAGACAAAAGGAGACACTTTATTATATATAAGAGACAATTGATGAGGAAAAGGAGACACTTTTTATTATATAAAAGGAGACAATTAATAAAAAAAAGGAGACAATTAATAAAAAAAAAAGGAGACAATTAATAACATAAAAAGGAGACAATTAATAACATAAAAAGGAGACAATTAATAACATAAAAAGGAGACAATTAATATAATACAAGGAGGCAACAAATAACAACAAAAAGAGACAAATAATACAATAAAAGGAGACAGTAATTAATAAAAAAAGGAGACAAATAATTAAATAAAAGGAGACAGTAATTAATAAATAAAAAAAAGGAGACAAATAATAAAATAAAAGGAGACAGTAATTAATAAAAAAAAGGAGACAAATAATAAAAAAAAAGGAGACAAATAATAAAATAAAAGGAGAAAAAGGAGAAAGTATATTATTTATATATTATTTACTTGTTGCTCAAGATTAGGGTCTGTAGGGGGATCAAGAAGAAGAACATGACTAGCACAAGATAGATCTAATCCATGAGCACCAACACAAGTAGATAATAATAATACTTTTATCTCTTCTCCTTCTATAAACCCTTTTAATGCAGATAATGCAAGACGTCTCTCTGTCTATAAAAAAAAACACACAAAAATATATATATAAATGTCTAAACCCTAAACCCTAAACCCTAAACCCTAAACCCTAAACCCTAAAACCCTCAGAGTTAACAAAAAAAAAACATAAGAGTATAATACCTTAATTAATAGATAAAATAAAATAAAATAAGATGTATATATACATATAAATAAATAAATAAATAAATAAAACTAAAATAAATAAATAAAATAAATTACCCTTTCTGTAAAATATCCACATTTAATTTGGTGTCTCTCTAAGAATTGTCCTAATAAGAAAAGAGACTCCCAGAAGGAGGAGGCAACTATTATTTTCTCGCAGCGGCGGCGCTTCCCGTTGCTGCTGCTGCTGCTGCTGCTGCTGCTGCTGTTGCTGCTGTTGCTGCTGCTGCTGGCGGTGGTGGTGGAGAGGCAGGACTTCAAGGAAGAGGGGTTCTTATCGTTACTCTGTTCCTGCTGCTGCTGCTGCTGCTGCTGCTGCTGCTGCTGTGGAGAGGAGACATTGCTGCTATCACCTGGCTGCTGGAAGCGGACCCGACGGGTTGGCGTCGCAGCAGCAGCAGCTGCAGCAGATGCAGCACCAGCTGCTGCAGCAACAGAGACAAGAAGAACAAGACACAGCAAAGAAGGACATAAAAACACAAAACAATGAGGAAATAGCAAACAATGCCATTACTTGCTGCTGCCGCTGCTGCAGCAGCAGCTGCTGCTGCTGCAAGATGCATGCAAGGGGGGTATGCAGCTGTGTATTATTGTATGCTCTTACATGTTGTGGGGTTGGGATCGGGATCGGGATCGGGATCGGGATCGTATAGATCCTCCCAAGGAATATTATTTTGCCCGTACTTTTTGCTGCCTATTATAGCTAATATACGCCTAGATACAGCAGCATACTTGCTGCTGCTGAGGAAGCTTAGATCCTCACCATCAACATTTAATGATGCTAGTTTATTTCCTGCTGCTGCTGCAGCAGCAGCAGCAGCAGCAGCAGATGCTGCTGCTCCTGCTGCATCAGGAAATATGCTTGGGTTTGATAGGCGTGGCGTAGATTTACAATAAAGTCTTGCTGCAGCAGCACCAGCATTTGCTATACTTGCTGCTGCTGCTGCTGCTGCTGCTGCTGTTGCTGCTGTTCCTCCTCCTCCTCCTGCTGCAGCAGCAGCAGCAGCAGCAGCAGAAGACTGGAAATCACAACCAACAAAGTTATCTAAATCATCAACTTCTACAACATCCATTGGTGTCTCATCCTCTCCCCTCATTACACGACGCCGCTGCAGCTGTTGCTGCTGCTGCTGCTGCTGCTGCTGCGGTTGCTGCTGCTGCTGCTGCTGCTGCCATAGGGAGTTGCTGCTGCCACGACCAAAGGAGAAACGCAAACCACCATATGTGTTGCTCATGAATTGTCTACCGCCAAAGCTGCTGCTGCTGCTGCTGCTGAAGATGTTGCTGCTGCTGCTAATGCTGCTGCTGCCAATGCTGCTGCTGTTGCTGGTGCTGCTGCTGCTGCTGCTGCTAGCGAACCTTGTTAGTGGCGAAGGTCCTGGCTGTGAGGTCAATCGACCTCCTGTAAGAATTGAAGGACTCTGTGATGGGGCTGCAGACTTGGCGGATGCTGCTGCTGCTGCTGCTGCTGCTGTTGCTGCTGCTGTTGCTGCAGTTGTTGCTGTATTAACTGCTGCAGTTGTTGTTGCTTCTGTTGCAGTAGAAGAGGTTGGCATTGTATTCTTATTATTAAGAGAAGCAGCATTTGCTCGTGCTGCTGCTGCTGCTGCTGCTATTGCTGCTGCTGCTCGTGCTGCAGCAGCAGCTGCTGCTGGTGGTGGAGCTGGTGGTGATGCTGCTGCTTCTGTTGATCCTGGTGTTACTCCCCCTTCTGCCCTTGCTGCTGCTGTTGCTGCTGCTGCTGCTGCTGCTTCCATTGGTGCTGTTGGTGTTGCTCCTGGTGCTGCATTAGCTGCTGCATTTGCTGCTGCATTAGCTGCTGCCTTTGCTGCAGCAGGATTCTTTGCTGCTGCTACTGCAGCAGGTGTAGGTACAGCTATATTAGTATTATTAATTGTATAAAAATAAATATAAACAAGATCCTCTGCTTCCTTCTTGAGGTCCGCAGACACCCGAAGTGTTGGGCAGCAGCAGCAAGACATATAATTATTATTATTAATAAAAAAAGGAGATATAGGTATATTATTATGACGGATACAATCTACTCTTCTTCTTCTTATCTCCTGCTGCTGCTGTTGCTGCTGTTGCTGCTGTTGCTGCTGCTGTTGCTGCTGCTGCTGCTGTTGCAGTCTGCTGTATGGTTGTAGGTTGAAGTATTGATTCGCGTCTTCCTGTTGATTATTATTATTATTATTATTGCTGCTGCTGCTGCTGCTGCTGCCTAGCAGTTTAGCTGCTGCTGCTTCTGCTGCTGCTGTTCTTGGTCTTAGAGGTAATTGTATAGGAACAGGCCATATACAAGGAGACCTAATTGTTACTAATGGTGCACTTAATAGACTGTTGCTGCTGCTGCTGCTGCTGCTGCTGCTGCTGTTGCTGTTGCTGTTATCTCTCCCTATCCCTCCCCAACCACTACTACCACCACCACCACCATCAGCAGCAGCAGCAGCAGCAGCAGCAGCAGCAGCAGGAGAAGAAGAAGCAGGAAAAGATGAATCTGTATGATAATTAATAGTTCTATGATAAGGTCTATTCCTTTTATGTGCAGCAGCAGCAGCAGCAGCAGCAGCAGCAGCAAATGGCCAATTAAATTGTGTTGCATGCTCTACAGGGGGCTGCAGACGATCCATATAATCACCATCTATTGGATAATAAATATAACATAAAGGGCAACCACGTAACGTAGGACGCCTACAAAACTAACAAAAACAACAAGAAAAAAAAAAGAAGAAAAGGAGAGGAATTTATTTATCTATTTATTTATTTATTTATTTATTTATTTAGTAAAAAAAAAAAGAAAAAAATGAATACATAAAGGGCAACCACGTAACGTAGGACGCCTACAAAACTAACAAAAAAAAAACAAGAAAAAAAAAAGAAGAAAAGGAGAGGAATTTATTTATTTATTTATTTATTTATTATTTTTTTTATTTAGTAAAAAGCGGGAAAAGGGGGGAAAAGGGAAAAAAGACGAGTGTATATATATATATATATATATATATA